TCGATCCCGATCGGCTCCACTTTGAACGCCTCTGGCACATTGCTGGGGGCGTTTTTTTTGATGTGGGCATTGGCTGCCGATGGACGGCCTAGTCTGCCAGTTCTACCCGGTGCGTCTTCCGGATCTCCTCGACTGTGCGCTCCGGGACGCCGCAGGCTTTGGCTTCTTCGGGCCAGTGGGCGACGGCCTCGGCGACTTCGGTGATGATCTCGTGGGGTGATCGGATGCCCTGGGTGCGGGCGAGTTCGAGGAGATCTTCTTTGGTGAAGTTGTCGGCTTTGCCGTTGAGGCTCATCTGGTGCTGGGCGGTCCAGTCGCCTTTGGGGTTGTAGGCCCAGGCGACGTCGAAGGCGGGGGCGAGGCGCCATTCGCCGGATGGGTCCATGAGGAACTCGATGTTGCGGGTGTGGTCGTCCTGGTTGCGGGCGATGACGTTGAAGACCATTCGGCGGTACTGCTGCTCGGCGTCGGGGTACGGGAGGTTCAGGGCGCGGATCATCTCGAAGGCCTGCTCGTAGCCGTAGGCGCGGGGGCGGTTGTAGTCGTAGTGGCCCAGGGCGCAGAGGGATTGGGCGTGGAGCTTCTCGCCGGCGTCGGTGCGATCGAAGCGTTTGGTCATGAAGTGCGCGCGTCCGCCTTCTTCGAGAAGTCGGCAGGGCGTCATGTCGATGCCGGCTCGTGTTGCGAGCTTGTGGTAGGCGTATTCGATGCGCCCGTAGCCGAGGGTGGCGCCGAGGTCGCGGTCGTGCTCGGTGTCGAACTTGAGGATCCAGTGCTCGAATCCCTTCGGCGCGGCGACCTGCCCGGAGCGGACCTCGCCCGTGTTTGGGTTCCAGGCGACGACGGCCTTGGCGCGCGCGCCGCCGGCGGAAGTGCCGACGCTGATGATGGACCGGACCGCGTCGTCGGGCGTGTCGCTCAGGTCGACGCTCAGGGTCATGCGCCGGGCGAGAATCTTCGCGGCGAGGTCGGTGAGCGCCGCGATGTCGAGGGCTTTGGAGGTTGTCTGCCTGGGCCCGCGCGCGGGCTTGAACTCGAGGGCGCCCATGCCGCGGGCGCCCATGTAGCAGAGTCGTTCGACGGCGCTGAAGGATTCCGCGGTTCGCCCCTGACGGGCGAGCCACAGGTCGATGAGCTCGTTGCCGTATTTGTCCGGGAGCGCGTCGGCGAGGAGGCCCGGCAGGCCGTGGAAGGTCGCGCGGTTGAGCGCGGGGAATGCGTAGATTCGGCGCGGGACGGCGGGCATCATTCGGGGGGCGATCTCGAGGCCGCGAGTGGTGAATTCGGGGTCGTACTCGAATCGTCCGACGCCGGAGCTGTCCATGGCGACGGCGCCGACGAAGGCGCCCCAGAGGTAGACGTCCGCGACGTCGACGGGGGCGGCGCTGCGCTTCGCGGCCATTACTCTGCACCCCGGCGCCGTCTGGCGAGCATGAGCGGGCTCGGGCCGGGGTCGGGCATGAAGGCGTCGAGCTGGTCGAGGAGGGCGAGGGCGCGCATGACTTTGATGAGCGTGGAGAGGGTGACGTCCGAGCCGGACTCGGCGTTGCGGAGGGCGGTACGGGAGATGCCGGCGCGTGTGGCGAGCTCGATTTCGCTCAGGCCCTGGTTCTGCCTCTGGAGCTTGAACCTTCGCCCGAGTTCCTCGTGGATGGCCTGATCACTCATTGCTTGGCTGAGCATAATTTTGTCTTTCGTACAAGACAATACGTGGTCTTCTTGCCGATATTGTAGTTTTCGAAAAACAATATGGCAATCAGCATTTCTGAACAATTGTCGTTTTCAAGATACAAAGTGTTCAAATTGAGGCCATTTTGTATTTTATAAAGCACAATTTAAGCGAGCCTATTCGAGAGTGGGTCCAATAAAAAACGCCCGATCCGGGCGGGTCGGGCGTTTTGAGCGGATGGGTTGTGCCTGGCGGTTCAGCGCCGGCGGCGGGCGCCGAGGGCGAAGGCCGCGAGGCCCGCGAGGGTGGCGGCTCCCGGCGTGGGGATGGGTCGGAAGCTGGTGAGGAGGAGCTGTTCGCCGAAGATGGGGCCTTCGCCGAATTCGTCGTCGATGCCGCCGACGGTGATTTCGAAGAAGAAGGTGCCGTGGGGGGCGCGGTTGCCGATGCCTGACGGCTCGTTGAATTCCTTGGCGAAGATGTTGAAGTCGCCGCCGGTGCCTCCGGGCTGGGAGGTGCCCCAGGGGTCGATGGCGGTGGGCTGGCCGATGAGTTCGCGGGTGAAGTCGAGTTCGGTGAGGTCGGGGTCGACGCCCTGGGTGGGCCCGCCGCCTGCATTGGCGTTGGTGTTGAGGATGATCTCTTCGAAGTCGTCGAGGGTCCAGGCGCCGTCGCCGTTCGCCGAGCCGGTGACGGTGATGGAGAAGGCGGTGACGAAGGGGTCCATGAATGTCGAGTTGAAGCCGGGGTTGCTGAGCTCGTTGAAGTCGATCGAGATCGTCCCGGTGGCGGTGGCGCCGTTCTGGAACGATTCGCCGGACCACTCGAGGATGAACTGTTGGATCTCGGCGTGGGCGGTGGCGGTGACGGCGACGGCCGCGGCGAGCGCGGCGGACCAATGCATAGCTCTCATGGGTTCTCTCCCTGTGCGTTGGGGAAAAGGGGACTCCTCCTGGCGGGGCCCGATAGACCTGTGCGTGGGCTCCGCACGGTTCACCGTACCACGGATTCCCGGGGGTGGCGTGGGGAATCTTGTTTTCGGACGGAAGCGTCGCGGCGGAGTTCCGGGCGGGATTCTTTTGGACGTGGTGTTCGGGATACCACGATCGGGTGATTGGTTCCGGGTCCGACGAGCGGCGTTGCGGTTCTCCAGGTGTCAATACCGGCCCAGTTTCCGGCCTGGGGAGGCGGAATCCGATGGATGTCTCAGGGATTTCCGAATGGGCGTCGATAGGGGTGGAGCCTGACCATTGGAGAGAGACGTCATGCCCCAACTCAAGATTCTGCTTGCGGACGATGACCTTGACCATCAGCGGCTCATCAGCCATGCGCTGCGGAGCGTGCGTCCGGATGTCGAGGTCACGACGGTGTTGAATCGAGAAGAGCTGCTTTCGGCCGTGCGGGAGCATGAGTTCGACTGCATCCTTTTGGATTACAACATGCCGCCGTTCCGTGCGACGGACCTGCTGCGGGACCTTGAGGGCCTGCAGAGCCGGGCGCCGCGGATCGTGTTGTCCGCGAGCGAGGAGCAGCGGGTGGTGATCGACGCGATCCGTTGCGGGGTGGCGGACTTTGTGCAGAAGGAAGAGGCGCTGGACGGGAAGGCGTTGTGGTCTCGGATCGATTCGTGCGTTGAATCGATGCGAGCGGAGCGCCTGGAGCGCCGCCGGGCGAACCGGCGTCTGAAGCGGCTGGAGCAGCAGGCGCAGACGGACCCGCTGACGGGGCTGGCGAACCGCCGATCGATCGAGCGTTACCTGGACGGGGAGACGCGCCGGGGCGATCGTCGCGAGCATCTGAGCGCGATCCTGATCGACCTGGACCATTTCAAGAAGGTGAACGACACGCTCGGGCACCAGGAGGGGGACCGGGTGCTGCGTTCGGTGGCGCGGGTGCTGCAGTCCAAGGCGCGGCCGTCCGACATGGTCGGGCGCTGGGGCGGCGAGGAGTTCATCGTGCTGCGCCAGGCGGGGTCGATGACGGAGGCGTGGATCTGGGCGGACGATCTGCGCCGTGCGATCTCGAACGAGGTGATCTGCGACGAGCCCGTGGGGAGGGTGACGGCGAGCATGGGCGTGGACGTCCTGGACCGTGACGTGATGACGGCGGACGCGATCCTGCGCGCCGACCGCGCGATGTATCTGGCGAAGGAGACGGGTCGCGACCGGGTGTGCACGTGGCCGATGGTCGTGGCGATGGAGGCGGCGGACGACGTGCAGAGCGACGCGAGCCTGACGACGCGGTCTCGGCTGCTGCACGTGATCTCCCGGATTGATTCGACGCTCGGCGAGACGCAGCGTGAGCACATCGGTCCGCACGGGAAGGCCGTGCGGGCGCTGGCGTTGTCGGTGGCGCGGGAGATGATCGAGGACGAGCACGTCCTGGAGGTGCTCGCGCTGGCGGCGGAGTTCCACGACATCGGGAAGGTGGGGGTTCCGGAATCGCTGCTGGCGCTGCCGCGGGAGCTGAGCGCGGGGGAGCGTCGCTTCATCGACTGCCACGCGCGTTTCGGTGCGGAGTTGCTGGAGGCGTGCGGGGCGGACGAGCGTGCGGTGCGTGCGGTGAAGCACCACCACCGGTGGTTCGACGGTGACGGGCCGGGGGGCGACGGGTCGATCGAGGCGTCGGACATCATCTCGGCGTGCGACGCGATGATCGCGATGCTGACGGAGCGTCCGTACGCGCCGGGGATGTCGCTCGGGGATGTGCTGCGAGAGATGAAACGGGAGCGTGGCCGCCAGTTCCACCCGCGCGTGGTGGACCGGATCGGCGCGATGAACGGAGAGCTGCGGGTGGCGGCGTAGGGGCGGGTGCGATTCAGGGATTGAGCGCCCTTGTGTGTTGCGGGGCGCGTTCGTGCGATTGAGAGAGAGCAAGAGCAGACCGGCTGAACCGTCCCGGCGCGCGGCGTCGTGAGTGGTGTCGGTGTGCGAACAGACAGGAGATGCGGCAGTGCAAGACCTCCATCGAAGAGTTCATGAGCGTGTGTACCCCGGTTCTGAACGGGTCGCGTGGGGATCGTTGAGCGGCGGGACGCTCGGGCCGGCGACGGTTCGGGATACCTCCGTGACGGGCATCGGCCTGTGCATCCCCGGGACGATCGAGGCGGGCCTCGGGGAGATGATCCGGGTGGTATCGGGGGACGACCCGTTCCCTCGTCGGGCTCGGATCA